CCTATCTCTGGGTCTGTCTGGTGCCCTATCTCTGGGTCTGTCTGGTGCCCTATCTCTGGGTCTGTCTGGTGTCCTATCTCTGGGTCTGTCTGGTGTCCTATCTCTGGGTCTGTCTGGCGTCCTATCTCTGGGTCTGTCTGGCATCCTATCTCTGGGACAGTCAGCAGGCATGCTACCCTTTGCATTATTCCTGGAGTCCAATTCAACCCGGGGCCCCCCTCCTCTGCCGGGTGTACCACAGTTGCATGTGGTTGTCAGATAAATCACTACAGTCTTAAATATTTATTAACCCATTAGAGCTTTCCTGCGCTTATCATCATGTATACACACTAGTGACAAACAATTTCATTGAACTTGTACAATGTTGAGACAGGATGTTGTTGTTACCATAAAGACAGCTGGAAATGATATATGTCACAATACTGCATAATAATTATAGAACTATCATTTTTTAATTACACACAGTATGTAGAACTACTGTATTACTAATTGTGTATAACTAGTAATTAGAAAAGATATACTTTTATTTTAGATTTAATTATAAAAAAATATTTATTATATGGATTATTATAATGGTCTGTTCTCCATTCATTGCATGTCACTCCCTTTTAATACATAAAAAAACTTTATAGCCACATTACATTTTAAAATGGTATCTAAGTATCTAGGCTGTGTATGATGTGTTTATATAGCATGTGTTGTATTTTCAATAAATATGATTATGAGACTAAGAAAACATCAGATTAAGTGAAGCTACCATTTCAGTAACATCTAACACAACATAAATTCCACTTGGCGATCTGTGAAGGGCTGAAAGTGGACTGCTGGACAGAACTGAAGACAGACTGCAAACCTTATCAGTAGTTTAAACTCACAGCTGATTGAATTCAGGGAAGCTACTGTAGATGACTTTTGTTCTCTGACACTCATGGCAGCATGGTATTCCTGGAGTGCAGAGCTCATTCCCGCATCAAGGTAGATAGCTGGGAAGTTAATGCTCTTCCAGTACATGCTGAGTGGAAGTGACACCAAGGAACCTCACTGCAAGGATGTGTGCTCATATTTCTTTTGTACTGCTCCCACCTCAAAGACTGCATTCAGATTCTAATCATTTTCAAATAAAACATGTTGACATCATTCCCTTAATTAACTGATCTAAAACAGAGCTATCTAGCCCTGCTAAAATATCCGGAAGCACTATTAAATTCAAGGGATTTGAAATAACTATGTTTTGGACAGCTATACAGTACATGAAGGTTTTCTTTTCTAAATATTGCAACTTCAGATGTTTTAAATTGCACTCTGACTGGAGAAAACACAATTTTCTAATCATTTACACTTAGGGTGGCTGTGGAAAGTAGATGATAGTAGTAGCTACAGGGTGTGGACCCGATAGGTTGCCTGCATTTGGTTTTGTGACTGATTTATATATAACAGTTAAATAGTTAAATACATGAATATATAAATGTTAAATATGATGGTTACTGCCTAATCTGTTTGTTCAAATAGATCTTTGGTTTAGCTTAAGATACTGTACAGTTTATGCAGTTGACATTTGATAGACTTTAGAATGAGAGTAACAAAGCAAAGTGATACAAATAAAAGTTACAGTATGAACTAACAGAACTAATTAAGTATAAGGGTCATAATCAGAATGCAATGTACAATGATTGAACATCTTTCTATTTTCAATAAAAGCCATATAACTGCATAGCTGTACAGTATCTGCAAATTATTCAATATGCAGTAGAATATAAGAGAGCTTGTTACTAAGTTTAATTTAATATTTCTGATGTCCCACCCAGAGTGTTGTTTGCTGGGATAGGATCCAGCTCCCCTGTGATTCTGTACCGGATCAAGTGGTTAGAAAATGGATGAGTGGAATATAATAATATGTCTAGTGACATTTAAGGTCCGCTGTATTGCCAAAGCCTATTAAATTAGTTATTTAACAACACAAATCCAACCTCATAGATTATTGAAGATGTTACTGTTCCTCTAACTAGTATTCATTTTCTACTTTTTAATCTTTTTGTGTCCTTTGTGAACAAATTCACTTGACACAGATTTACATTTACCTTGGTAATGTAGTGAACAATTCCAGTCATGAAATGTGGCGGTATGATAGTAAAAGCGGACACGCTATCCGTGATGTTTTATGCCCAATAGGACATTTATAAAGAACTTGTATTACTGAGATGTATTACTGAAGAATTGCAAATTTTAGGTTAGATTTGCAGGTTATGAAAATGTAGCACATCTAAGGGGACATCTCATACAGTGTACAGTAGATATCATATCACATGGTACTGAGTAAGCACTGGAAATAATTATTCTCTGTATAATGTACTGTACAGATAAAAGGAAAAAAGGATATTGTGACAGACCTAAAGAGAATTAGATTGAAACAAGAATTATTGTTAGACAACAGAAGTTAGGAAAGCAAAGCTCTCACACATGAATCCCGAGGAAATAGCTTTTAGCACAATTCACCTTTTTGACAGAAAAAAAAGTTTTCGTGATTAAAGATGACTGCACTACTGTTGTTTGTCACACAGCTGGGTTCTGTTGTAGTGCATGTTTGTCAAAATTAGAAAAGCTTACTCAGTAGACATCTTTGGCTAATGTGAAGGGAGTAGTCTTTTCAGAGACTTGAAAGATACTATGCTTACAGATGTTTGCTTTTATTTCATATGCAAAATACTGTAGCTTTGATTCCACAGAGATTGTTTGAGGAAGCAAATATACATTGCATATATCTTACTAGTTTAGAAGAGAGATGTAGCCTTAATTCACAGTATGTTTAATCTGTAAAATAATTTCTTTAGACAGGATTAAGATTTCCCTGCTGGTATCAGAGCCAATTTTGAGCCAATCTGGCAGACAGAAGATGGACATAGCATTGTTGCTTTATGAAGTGTAACTTTTAAAAATGTATTGGCCTGGGAATGAACAGACAATAAATATTTATACTGTAGTGCTTCAGAAGAGACTCTCAAATAAAGTTTAAGATTTCTCCTTCTGCGCAACCATGATATTCAGTACCCTCCTCGGGGAACTTACACCAGTTAGTCCTGTGAAGAAGACTGGAAATAAAAAAATAGTGGAAACTGAAAATCCAGATTATCAGACTATAGTGACATACTGTAAGGTTCTAAATGAGCACTAGAACTAGAGCCCACCTAGTCCGTTTGATAATTGGTAGATAATTGATTTAAGGAACCCGTCCAACTGTTTCTTGAAAGACGTCAGGTATTGGCTTCTACAGCATGGCAACATAATAATAATAATAATAATAATTGCTTACACTTATATAGCGCTTTTCTGGACACTCCACTCAAAGCGCTTTACAGGTAATGGGGTCTCCCCTCCACCACCACCAATGTGCAGCATCCACCTGGATGATGCGACGGCAGCCATAGTGCGCCAAAACGCTCCCCACACATCAGCTATTAGTGGGGAGGAGAGCAGAGTAATGTAGCCAATTCATAGATGGGGATCATTAGGAAACCATGATTGGTTAGGGCCAATGGGAAATTTGGCCAGGACGCCGGGGTTACACCCCTACTCTTTTCGAGAAACACCCTGGGATTTTTAATGACCACAAAGAGTCAGGAC